GAGAATTTAATCTAAACTATATTTTTTTTTAAATTGAGGTTTTATTGCCAAAAATTTAGATACTGCATGTTAAAATCCATCTGTAAAAGGCTACCATAACTTCATCTTTGAGAACTAAATAGGGTAATTTGGGGCTTTTTTATGATATAGAAGAAACCACAAATGATTTAAGAACTTCCTTCCACCATCTAAATAAAATAATACTGAAATATCCTGCTGTAGTTTGGAGTAACTGCGTAAAACATGAAGACTGACGTGATTACAAATTCTGCTTTATTTTTCCTCTGTGTACAGTGTTGGTCTTCATGAACTGTTCGTCACACTGCGTAATTACATTCCTTTCACCTAAACTGTTTCTCCTTTTTTTTTTTTAAAATTTCTTTTTCCTGAAACACTGATTGTTTTTGAATATTCCAGTTTGGTTTGGAAGCAACCTGCATGCGGATACTTGGGTGTTGGACTGCAGTATGCTTGATGAGAAAGTTTGCATTCAGACAAAATTCAGACTCATAAGAGCCAGTCTCCCAAAGGACAGTTGGTGACCTGTACCTGGCTGTACCTTGGTTGCTGCTGGTCGTCTTCTACAGACCGTCTTCTTGAACTTGAGTTCTTCATAAACCACTGCATTCCTTCTGAGCAGCTCAATTCCAGACAAACAGTGCCCCAGGGCAAACAGGAGATGGCTCTTGCCCTGCTGATCAATGAGAAGGTCCTTGTGATCATGAACAGAAGCTGAGGTATCTGCAAACTGCCCATCAGTCCAAGCACCATCTGCGTTCTACTCAAGGAAACCCCACCACCTCTAGCCTCAAAACTTCAAAACCTGAATTTTGCTTAGCATTATGGGTGGTATCTGACCTAGAGCACTTAGAAATCTCATCTACTTATGATGGGTCGTAAGTGCTCTGCTCTCCATCCAGGCAGGCATGATTCATGGTGCCTGGTCCTCATACTGAGATTTGTTTTGCAGATATCTCATCTTCCTGTTTTCTTGTCCGTTCTCCCCATTTCTTTGTTCTGTCTGCTCAGCATGTGCTACGGTAACTGACATTAGAAGCTGTGTGGGCAGGGAATGGGTTTTGGTTTTAGTAAAAAAGTGTGGTTACATCATCTTGTACAACAGGTCCCTACTCTGTGGCTGGGCCAAGCAAGTCCTTTGGAGCTGCAAATATATGGAAAACTTGGAATTGCAGTAATGAAAAGATATATCATGTTATATATAATAACAACACATTCTATGCTGCTTCCTGCATGGAATCTCCCAGGTATACCTGGCAACAAGGGAGAGAGAGATCTGAATACTAATGACAGCTGGAGGAGGGGGCACTTAATAGTGTTTTGGCTAATTGCCAGGTTGCCTGCTCTTGAAAAATTTGCTTGTGCTGAGCCAGGCATATTTTTCATGTGTAGAAAATTGGGCTGGGTGGTGGTAAGGCTTTATATTTTCCTAATGTTTCATACAGTCAAGTATGTGAAGGTTCATATAGCTATAAGATCTGTGTTTCTATCTCCAAGAGGCCATCAGGCCTCCTTTGAAGGACTTGGAAAACCATAGCAGCTGATCAGACCCAGGAAAGAAATTGCAATTTCGGAGAGCACCAGATGTAAACTTACAAAATGAAGAAGTATTTTTGTGTTTTGTGGGTTTGGGGGGATTTTTTTTTTTGCTTGTTTTCTTGATTCTTTTTTTAGTAAATCCAGATGACTAACTCAGGGCCTCTTTTCTTCTTCCCTTCAGGCAGAACAAAGTCTCTGATGATTTGTTTGCTTCAAAAGGTCCCCACTGATTTACCTTTGGGTCTGTTCTACCATCTCTCATTGTTTCATGTAAGCATTTTCTGTGGTAATTAGACTGGTAATAGCATAATCCCTGGTGGCCCTGCTGGAGTGCCTGGCCTCTCTGGGTTGAGAAAGCTCTGCTTGGGGGCAGCATATTTTTTCTCTAGGTGGGAAGGGGAAGAGTTGATGTTGTGAATGTTGCCCGGATTATGATGGAAAAATCTTTTGAAAGAGGAAAGTTTTGCAGCGTTTCCTAGAAGTGATTCAGGCTGCATTTGTCTGATTTCCTCTGGCAGCTCGTAGCAACCTTGACGGTGCATGTTTTGTCCCTGGCTGCTTCCTTCTGGACTCTGTGGTCTGCATTGTCCCAAAGGAACACAGATATCTGTCATTTGTGGATGCAGGTGCAGGCACTTTTTGTAGCTGGGTGCAGATATATTCAGAGCTTTGAAGACCAAGACCTTGAACTGGCAGTGGAAACAGACTAAAAATCCTCTTCGACTTTCAAAAATGCAGTGCCTACAGTCATATGAACTTCTGTGTGAGGCAACTAAGGAAAACAACTCCTCAGTTTTTAAAGGCTTTTAAAAAATTAAGAACAGATTTGACATTTTATCTTTGTCACCTTTGCTCTGAATGATTTTGACTACTGATATGAATGCCTCTAATTTCTTTTTTTTTTTTTTTTTTTTTTTCTTTTTTGTATAAAACAA